TTCCTTTCCTTTATGTGTGGCCTTCCTTCCTTCCTTCCTTTGGTTTCCTTCCCTTCCTTTCATATATATATATATATATATTTTTCCCTTTTCTCCCTCCCTTTTCTCTCATTTCTCTTACTCTTTTTTTTCCTTTTTTTCTCCTTTTGCTTTTTTTCCTTTCCCCAGATTGTTTATTATTTATCACTTCCCTCTTTCATTTCTTTCATTTCTTTCTTTTATTTCTTCATTTTTTTCTTTTTCTTTCTATCTTTCACTTGTTGCGTGCATGTCTGGATGTGTCGGCCATTTTGTCCCGCCCCCTTTTTTTTTTCTTTTTTTTTTTTCCGGGTCCAAGAAGAAGCTAGACGATCCTCACTATTGCCATCACTGCCCATCAGGCAATTGTAAATTCATTGTTTTTTTTGTTTTTTTTTTTTCCGGTTCCAATTAAAAAGGGAGGTATTAGCAGGCAGCCGTTGTAAATTTGAAAATACATTCCCTTTGTTCTCTTTTTTTTTCTCTCAAAAAAGGAGAAGTTTTTTGTTCATAACATTCTTTCGAATGCAGCGAAACCCACACAATTTTGCAAATTGCGGCTTTGGATATACGTAACAGCCATATGGCTTCCTAGTTAAAAAAAAAAAAAAAAAAAAAAAGTCCTCGTTGTATCCTCCTAACTCATTCATTCATTCTATAGGCAGGCCTATAGTCAGCTGGAGACTGCAGTGTTGTCCATCTGCACAGCACACTGTTGTCTTCCCGCAAATCTCTTATAGAATGAGCGGTCATTATAGCTGCATTCAGGGCAAAGTTCAGTCCAGATACAGTGATAATGATGGGGTGTTCAATTCGAAGGGACGGCTGTCGGAATGGCGGTGACAGTAGGTTCAAATCTATAGCAACAGCTGCTACGGCCTTTAAGTTGTTCACCGCCATTCCTATAGTCGGAATGGCGGTGACAGTAGGTTCAAATCTATAGCAACAGCTGCTACGGCCTTCAAGTTGTTCACCGCCATTCCTATAGTCTTCCTTCGAATAGAACACCCCGTCATTATCGCTGTATCTGGACTGAACTTTGCCCTAAATGCAGCTACAAAAGTTTCCAGAAATAAGGAAACAGTCACACTGCAGGAATGCAAGAATAAGATCGGAAAAAAGAGGGAGAAGTTGGAGAGCTGATGATCTACAGGAGTGAAACGATGGGAGAAAGGTTGCGAGGGACAGGAAAAAAAAAAAAAAAAAAAGGAAAAAAAAAAAAAGCGGCTTTGGCTGTGCTGCTAAAGGATCCAGAAAGAAGAACCACTAACACTGGGTGGGAGCGTTTTGATTACAAAAAAAAAAAAAAAAAAAAAAAAGGATTGTGCATTTTCCTTTGCGTTTACTGGTTGATTTTTTGGTGGGAACAGCAAAAGAGTTCTCCGGAAAATGTACCCCGACTCCGGATCCTATTGCGACAAATTCTTTTTGGAGCAGTCGAAGCAAAAGACCGGTGTGAATTTGTACTGCAAATCGGTAGTGAAGTGAAGTCGTGTTTCGACAACCGTGGAGTCTTGAGTAGTGTTTACTTGCGTCAGTTGGACTAAAAATCTTGCGTCAGTTGGACTAAAAAAATCCTTCTGTTGCAGATTTACTTCACAGCCGTCGGGGGTTTGACGGCATAGCCTCCCCCGAGGGTGTGGCCTGTAAACTGTTCAGGCTTTGATCTTCCACATGTTAGGTAATGTGCGATGTCGCGTGGGTGATCTGACGGATATACAACCATCGATGAAGAGCGCGAAGAACGACCGGCGTTGCAGGAAAAGAGCGCAGAGCATGGAAACTGAAGGAGGAGACTGCGGAAAGTTCTGGGATTTGAAAGCAACTGTAAAGTATAGAAGTAGTGGAAAGTCTTTCTTCTTCGTTGAGAGAACGCAAACTCTCGGGCAGATATACGGATCTAATAGGTCTTCTTGCAGATCCGAAATTCTTAATATATTGCTACGAGACTATCAAGAGTAAGCCTGGTAACATGACTCCTGGAAAGGCGCGAAGCGCTTTTGATGGACTTACAAAAGAATGGTTTACTCACTTAGCAACTCTTCTGAGGATTGAGGAAGTGTTTGAACTTAGAAAAAAGTACGATGGTTTGGTTTTCACTCTCCAATCGATCGAAACCCGGGGGAAACGTGTATATCGCGTGCCCGTGTACGCATTATTACGTAGGTATGGGTGAGACGTTTGTGTGGAATGATGGGTACGACACGGTTCCTCAGTCAGTCGAAAGCTACTGAAAGGAAAGCTCCCCGAGGAGACGTGTATCACGTGCCCGTGTTCGCATTATTACGTAGGTATGCGTGAGACATCTGTGTGGAATGATGGGTTCGACATGGTTCCTCGGTCGGTCGAAAGCTACTGAAAGGAAAGTTAGGAGTATATTGCCGCAGGTTTGGGGCGTTTGGGGAAAAAGTCGAAGATGTCGGGACAATCGGGAAATGCTTGCATCATCCCTAAGCAGAAGGATGTGAAACTGTTCCATCCAATTTGCCCGACTTTTCAAGAGCCGGTGAATGCAACGTGCAAAAAGATGGCTTGAGCATTGCATGTGCTGTTGACTACGCCACTGACGAAGTAACCCCTTCAACCTGCAAGATGTCTCATTGTTGGCGGACCGACTGGTAGGAGCAAATAAGCAGTTCGAACGACTGGGGGCTGGCAGCACTCGTATTCTTTCGTCGTCGTATAACGTTAAGGATATGTTCAGCCGTTTGCTGCGTAAGGAGATTATGGCGGCAGTGGAATGGTTGATTGAGTGGCATTTCAAGAAAGGGAGGAGAGTGGTGAGAGTGAATCCAAAGGGAAAAGGGGGACGTTTCGATTGCAAGAGGGGCGAAAAGTGGTGGGCTGTTAGCTTTGACCCTTGAGGAAATACGCATGTTTGTGGATTTTGACCTGGAACACAGTGACAAAAGCATCGGGTGTGTCGCTGCGGCAGAAGGTTGGGGTACCAATGGGCAAAAGCACGAGTCCACCAGTCGCGCGCATTATGTGTGTGCGTACGCGGAGTGGCGTTTTTTGAGCTCTCTTGGATCAGAGAGGAGACTGGTGGTGGGGGTGCGACTTGTCGAGGATGTGTCGTTGTTTTTTCCCTACAAAGGAGGGGATAAGAAGTTGCTAAGAAGGGCGAAAAGGATAAGGGGTAGGTTTGAGAAGGGCGAAAAGGAT